GGGGGGGCAGGGGCAAGCCCCGGTGTGAGGCAGAGGCAGGCGGGAGGAGGGAGCCCCTGCCCCAGAGGCTGGAGGATGCAGCAGCAGAGGGAATCTTTACATGGCCAGCCCCGAAGGGTGAGCGAGGGGCAAGGGGGGGACCATGTAAACACTTCCTGAAATCCATCATTCTTGATGGGCAATTAGCTAGTATGTACATATTCACTGAAAAAGAGATAATAACTTTCTTGCCTGGTGGTTAGAACAGTAACCTGAGAAGTAGGACAGCATCAACAGAAGAGGCTAAAAGCAACCAAGCCCAGAATATCATACAGTGCCAGGCTAACTGTGGCACCGTCCTGGAGAATGGAGGTACAGGTTCAATTTCTCAAAGCAAAAGAAGGTATTGAATCCAGCTTTCCCATATCCTGGACCCATGCTCCAGAAAAAAAGGAACCATCTCTTCCTCTGTTTTCCCTTTCTTACAAGTGCATGGAAATCAAACGTGTCATAACAAATAGAACATTTTGTTTAACATGCAAAGGAGTTTTCCATTTTTCCTATTGCTGCAAAAAAAATTGAAAATATTTCCAATCGAATTCAAACTATTTTCCCAGTCTGGCTGCTTAACTCAAAAAAACCCAGTTATTTACACAGCTCTAGGTTTGTCCCATTTTACCAAAGCTCCTTTTAAGGCTGACAACATGAATGGATTATTTTATTTGCCATCTTTCTCCCTAGGAGCAAAGGGGCTGCACGTGATATACCTGTCAAAAAGACTGGCCCTCACTGCCCTAATAGGAAGCACTGCAAAGGTCAAAGTATGTGGAAACCTTCCAGTCACTTCATTAGCTTCTTGAGTATAACATTCTTACTTAGCAAAGGGTGAACACATTGCACGGGCATACTGATCCTCAAGCATGTAACTTTCCTACTAATTTGGTTCTACAATACTGGCAATATAAAGGCATGCAGAATAAGGCTGTGCAAAATAGCTGTGTTTTGATTCAGTTTCGGATTCAGCTGTTTCAGAAGACAGTGATTCATTTTGGTGTTTCAGATCACTGTCCTGTTTCTTTTTGGCCAAATCTGTTTCAAAGCTGAGCCAGGTGGGGTTTGGGGCAAGGGGCTGCAGGGCCACAGCAGGTTGCTGGATGAGGCTGTGGATGGCTCATCCAGGAGAGGGGAAGGGCCACTGCCCTCCGCGCAGGCGAGGAGACCTCCGCATGGTTCTATGATCTCTGCAGAGCCAGGTTGCACAGCAGGGACCAGCACTGCCCTGCCACACAACCTGGCTCTGCAGGGAGCAAAGATCCATGTCGGGGTCTCCTCACCACCACTGCCCGCCCTGCGTAGCTCCGGATCTCTGCTCCCTGCAGAGCCAGGTCACGTGGCACGGACCAGCCAGGGCAGTGGGGACCGGGCAGTGGTAGCAAGGAAACCCCTGGCAGAGATTTCTGCTCCCTGCGGAGCTGAGTCACGCACCAGGGCAGCAGCATACAGCTGTTTCCCTGCAAGCCCGACTCTGATACTCCAAAATTTTCTGAAACATCTCCAAAACGTTTTGGATGCCTCGTTTCATTTCATAGATGTTTCTGAGCCTTCTGTTCCAATTCAGATTCGGTGTTTTGGGCACCAAAATGGCCCAAAATGAGATGGCTGCCAAAATTTCACACAGCCCTAATGTAGACTATATCTCAACTTTAATTTATGCTGGATACTTACATGCACCAAAACAAAGAATAAATGCAAAGAAATTTTGGGAAAAAGAACATAGAAAAAATTATGAAGGGGACAGAAGTTAGCAAGGATACAACTAAGAACATTAGCATTTTTTTCTTTTTGCAAATGAACACTTTCAGTAACTAACAGACTGACTTTTCTAACTGTTACTATGTAAAACAAGTTACCTTGAGCTACAAACTGCATCTACTTCGGTACCCTTTCTATCCATATGGCAATATTTTTTTATTGCTGATGCTTCCTGTTCTGAAACAAGCCAAACATTATCAGACAAGTTAAGGCTGAGTATTTATGTACTATCTGATATGCAAGCCACACAACAAGTTTTTATTTCTGTGATCACAAACCATCAAATTTCTTTTACAAATCACAGTGTTTTGCAGTTTCTAAACTTCAGGTCTGCAGCAGAACAACCACCATACCACAGGTGATAAGTACATACTAGGCCTGTGCAAAGCAGCACGTATTCGATTCAGATTTAATCAATTTAGAGGGACAGTGATTCGATTCGGTGATTCGAATCACTTTCCTGATTCGATTGAGCTGATACGGATCGGGAGATTCGGCCACAGACTATAACGGGGAATCACTAAAGTACATATAACTTTGTCATTTTTTTGCAGATTCGGATGTAAATAGCAGGGATGGTAGTCCCTTCTGAGGGCATGAAGCCTGCTAAGTTTCAAGGAGATAGATGCAGGGGATTCTGTGAAAGTGCACCACAAACTGTTGAAAGTAAAACTCATATCACTTGTGTGTGTTAGGGCAGAGCAGGATGAATGCAGCAGGGATGGTAGCCCCTCATGCAGGCATGAGGCCTCCAGGTTTCAGGCAGAGTGGTGCAGGGGTTTCCGTGAAAGTGCACCCCAAGGTTCTGAAAGCAAATAAAAAAAGAAAATAGGTGCAAAATGAGGAGGGTGACACTCAGTCCAGCTGCACATGAAACTTGGGGAACCCCACCAGTGGGAGGTTCACCTTCAGGAACACCAGCTGCTCCACCAAACCAGGATCCAAAGATGTGCGGCGGGGTGTCACAACATCACCAGCAATGCTGAACATCCTCTTGCTTGGAACAGTGGTGGATGGACAGCTGGATCCCGGGCAACTGTGGCCAGATCCTGCCACAACTGGCCGCGGGTTGCCCAATAGGCCAAGGGGTCACAGTGTAGTGGCTCCACATCCTCAGTGAGATGGGTAGCCACCAAGGCCTCTGTGCTACCTGCCTGATAGTAGGGTCTGGTACCTCTGGACCCCAACACTGAAGCCATGCCCTTGGCTCACATTAGCAATGGCTGTGGTGGAAAAGATTGGCTTGTGGTTGGGAGTGCTGGCATGGGAAAGTGGATCCCCCTCCTCCACATCCCCCCGCCTCTGCCCTTCTGCCTCCCTGACTCTGTTTACCAGCATCTCCATCCTTCTAGCGTGCCCACTTTTCCCCACATCTTAATGTCATCTGCGAATTTGAACAAGGTGCTTTTCACCCCCTTGTGATGATTTCCTCCCAATCATCTTATATTCACATACAAGGAAACCTCATTAAATACACTGTCTGTCATTAAACTGCTGCCAAAAGCAGCATGTGCTCAGTAATGGAAACCAACTATGAAGCTGATTAAATCCAGCCAGCGGTAAGCATGACTCTAAAACATGTGGCCCATAATGGCCAAATTTACTGATGTTAACCCTTTTTGTGGACCTTAAAAAAAGGGGGGCAATTGCTCCCCCAGGAAAAAATGAGCACTGGGCCTGAAGGTAATGCTATACCAGGCTAGCACACAGATAAGGTGGAGAAAACTCTGACATCTTCTCCTGGTGCCAAAAATGCTGATGGGAACCTTTCTTCTGGCCCTCAAAAAAAACT